TATATCAAGATTACATCAAACCCTAGCTAAACAACTCAGTTCATACTCAAAAACGACATAAAAGAACAAAAACAAATTGAATCAAGATTTATCATTGGAAAACAAGCAAAAGATGGAGAAATCTTCTCTAATTTGAAGCCCAAATCTTCAATAATCTTCTCCTTCTGTGAGCTGCCTCCCAAATGACGAACCAAGACTCTTTTCTCTTCCTTTTTGCTCTAATTTATACCTCTCTCACTTAAGGACCTAGCCCTAGCAAGCCAAAACGCGTCGTTTTATTTTTACATCTGATGCAGGTTTCGCCACGGCGAAGATTTTTTCTCGCCGCGGTGAAGAGTTTCGGGCCAAATTTGAGCATAATAGAGTCTGAATCTGGAAAAGTGTTAAACATATGAATTATAGACCTTTAAATTATCTTTCTGGTCGTTCAAAAATCAGCACAATCCGAGGTCTACAGCTCAAGTTATGGCAGAATTACTGAAGCACGTCCAAAGACGTTTTTCTTCAGTTCCCAGCGTACTTTTAACGACTTCAAGCCAAGTTTTCACCATTGTCCAGTCAGAATTAGAAAAAACCCAAAACATGAACGTTGTAGCTCTTCTTCTTAGCTTTCCAAAGCTTCTAAATTCAGGTCATTCCGAGTTTTCAAGCTCAAGTTACACAATTTACGCTTAAAACTGTCATTTATGCTAAAAATCATCGTTTAGGCCTATAAAGACAAATTAATAGAATTAGGTAGCAATTATGGCCCAAATTTATGAAAAGTATCATAAATCCTATCAAAATTCAATGCAAAATCATAGTATAAAATATGATTATCAGTTAGAACTCTTAGGAAATGAGCACTTAAAAATTAAAGTTCATGTTTTGATAGTCCATCAATAAAAAAAAAAAAATTGATTGATGCAAGAATGCTCATTAACTCCCACGATATCTGAACGAAATTGAAAAAGAGTGTCTGGTCTTGGAGTGCTCTCAAAATCAATATAGAATTCAGGTTTTGTTTTGCCCATCATGGATGACTATGAGACTTATTGTCCTGGAGTTGGAATTGCCTATTCCCTGAATATTCCAATAAAAAACTCTCATTGTGAGGTTTGCGTGGACAAGCCAACAGATAATGATCAACTCAATAGAATTTTTTATTTTTTTGGACATGACCTAGATATGATAATAACATCATACCCATTGTTATTAAGATCGAAATTTTGGACAGTTTCGAATACATCCTTGGTTTCTGGAAATACTTTTAGAATCTTAGGATGCCAGTGTTCAATACTCAGGGCATAGATGCTAATCCAAACCTATCAAATAGATTGTCTTTAAGGTGAAGGGTTAAACTTAGGTTGGATGAAAGATTATTGAATTGAGGTTGCAAGAAACATCCCCTCCCCAACCCCAGACTTTCCTTTCCTCTTATCTTACTCGTTATTGAAATGGATGTGACAAAACCTTGTCCAGAAGGATCGAGATACCATGCATTATATGGCCTCCATTGTTGAGCAAATAATTTTAGGCTTAGATGCTTTAAAAAGCAATGGTCTTCCAATAAGATTGGTCTTAAATGATTCATGTTGCTTCTTGGTTTAGGTTCTCTTGCATCTACAAGATATGAATTATGACAATTAGTTTGTTTTGTGTTAACGGGGCAGCAGGTTCAGAGTTTAATATCTTAGGGTTGTTAGTGGCTATTTCATCCAAGATAGCAGCTGTCATTTGAAAGCAAGGAAGGGGAACAAATTAAATGAGGGAAATAGAAAAACCCTAGTTCAACAATCTTCTAACTGATATTGTAATAATCAATTTAGGGCTATACTTCCACATGAATTGTTGGAATTTTCTCATTGTCAATCAAAATCTTTCTGGTTATCTCAATTTATATTTTTTTCTCTAAACTACAAGATTTTGTTTATTATTGGTCAAACTAATATTTTCATTTAAATTTTAACTATGTCATTTTCACATTTTGTAGTTCTTCTAATCTAATCTTCTTTGGGAATTTTGCTATATTCATACTACCATTTGTTTGATACTTTCTCAATCATTTCTATTATGAACTAAACCTGGCCTAAGAACTTTTTGCATGTGGAATACCCTACTCTATATTTTATGAATCTGGTTGCAATTATTCATTTGGACATTGGATGAAATGCATTTAGGTAAGATGAATGATAATTGTTATAAGCTATTTTCTTTGAACTTGGGATTAATGGATTAGTAGAATTGGTTTTTCTCATCATACACCAGTTGACAAGTATAGAGCGATAATGAATAGATGGACTAATAACTGCCCTGATAAATTGAAATTGTAATATTACAAATTGCTCATGGGAACTAATTTTACATTTGTGTTCCTTTCAGTCAATGATTCTTGGCTCGCCAATGGGGATCCAACTGAAGTAGGAACCAAGATGCTGATGGATAATTTTTGAGGTTGATATAACTAGTTTGTAAGTACAAAAAAATTTCTACTGTAAATGTGTAAGAGGCTAGTAGGAGACTGTTCTTCCCTTGTTGTACACATATTTGGTGCCATAATGGAAAAGATCCCTTTTTTGGAAACCTGAAATGTTTAGCAATCCAGATGTGAGATCGATGCACCATATAGTAATAACGCCAACTTCCTGTCATCTGCTGGCTGCAACTACAAAATCTCTAACCAGATTAAGCTGAATTTTGAGTTAAAAGCTTCATGTGTACAAAATCCATGCAGTGGTCCTGATTGCCACTACTACATGTATGCTATTGTGTCAATTTTCCAAATCCTTTTAACATACTGTATTAGACCAATACGAATGTTTGATTATTTTCTTTTATGTTATTATCATGTTTGGTAGGCCTATTAAATGATGTGACTTCCTTATATAGTCAATTAAAGATTACATTACTTATCAATTTACTTTTGAAAACTTCATTATCAGGGATGCCCTTGGATCCAAGTAAGGTTTTAGGATACTATCAATTAGCCTGTAGCAAAAAGTAGCTCTCAAAAATAAATATCAAATAAACAAGGAGACAAGAATGCCGATCAAATTAAGAATTGATCCATTGTTGTTTTGCTTGTGCTTGGGCAAAAAATCTGAGGCTCTCTTGTGAATTTATCATACATATGACTGTGTTTTTCTAGAATGATTAGCTTCGTATTAATATACTGTTAGGGTCAAAAAATGTCCTCGGCCCAAATAGGACAACACTCCGACAATGAGGAAAAGCCTAGGCCCAATCTCGGTGTGCCCCAAGCCAGAACCCCCTAGATAAGGCCCATTCGGTATGAAGTACAATCGGTCCAAACCATCTAGACCCAGGCCTCCTAAATGGTCAAGTTCAGAGCTCACGGTCACTTACGGATCACATTCCTACTCGAACACTGATAAGGTAGTCCACTACCATCCCAATTCCTCCAAGGTCCGTGTCAAAGTCATACTTGGACTCCATTTCACGCCAGGATAATGGGGCCAAAGGATATATCCCTGGAGGAAAAGGATTACTATGAGAACTCCCAATCCCACCAGGATTGGAAGACCAAACAGACACTATTTAAACAGAGGCCAGCCCTCTCACAAGGCAGATTACATTACACCTTCAGACCTCGGAGTTCCCGCTTGAGAACTTCACATTACAGTCGTAGTCACAGTCCCCGACTAGACTTCTGGTAACCTCTCTACTACCTAGCCCTCACTAAATCAGCCTCTTTCAGCTTTGCTGACTTGAGCGTCAGAGTGCATATGGCAAACACCACCCCCGTGTTTTCCGTCACTTCATGTTTGTTTCTCTACGTGTGCAGGTACAGCAAATCGCTAGTGGCCTCAACCTCACGGGATCAGTCCCTCCTTTCGTACAGGTAGATTTTTACATCTACAGATTGACACCCACCGTGGGGCCTCTAGCAATCATTTGGCTTAACGAACTCTGCTACGTGAAGAAACTTTCCATGGCTGACAACGCTAACCGCAGCCTCGAGGCCAAATTGGAAGCTCTGACCGCCCTCATGCAATAGAACTCAGATAAGGTGGCTGCACTGGTAGTTGAGAACACTGCCATCTGGACCAAAAACGCCTCCATCAAGGCCGAAAACCAGTCTCTGAAAGAGAAGGTAAGTCAGTTTTATGATCTTGAGCTTCTACCATGTCAGGTACCACCCAATTGATTCAATGCCTTGGTTCCAACTATTCAACCTCTCCAAACTTCAGAGCGCAGACACCCGGCCTCAGATAAAAGGTTGCATCAATTATGTTCGTCATTGGTCGATGACTCGGTCCTGATTCATAGAGAAAGGGGTCTGCCAACGGAACCCCTCTCGGTCGATCCGCCTTAAGCACAAGATCAAGGCGTCCAAGTGACAGAAAGCTCGCTGCAACAAGAATCGCCCATCCTCGCCATCCCACCTCACCTTTAGTCAACCATCCCTATATAAACTCCTTTCGGCTCGGTTCACCCTCGCGGGTCGAGTAGCCACCCACACCAAAACATCCCGCTCGAGTCCATCCATTCCAACGGACCGAACGAGTACCAAACAACCCCCCTAACCATGCATGTCGACCAAAACACCCGATCAGTTACAATAGGAGTCACCCAACCGGAGGAATGAACGCTGATCCAAGCTACCAAGTGATACACGAAGGAATGATCCACTAGGCTACACCACGCGGAATGACCCAACAAAATGTGCCAAGTGCAAATCTTATGGCCGACCAGGTCAGGCGGGATAACCTACTGATATCCCCTCTCCTATGGAACAAATATTGGCCAAGAGACTGACCGACGTAGAGGCAATGATGAAGCGTATACCGGGAATGTCGATCCCCACCAAAAAGAGCAAGCCTCACTACTACGCCGATTTGCCCTTCGTGGATGCCATCGTGCTAGCCGACATGCCCCACAAATTCACTATTCCCGACATGAAGCCCTATGACGGCACAACCGACCCATATGATCACATAGCCTCATACAAGCAGTGAATGTTCACTGTCTTGATACCCCGAGCACTGAGGGAAGCCTGCATGTGTAAGAGTTTTGGTTCAAGCTTATCTGGTCTAGCTCTTCAGTGGTACACCAATCTCCTGAACGATTCCATCGACTCATTCGCACAGCTCACCGACACCTTCGTGGAGCAATTCGCCAGTAGTAAAAAACTCAAGAAACTATCGGCCGACCTGTACAGAGTATACCAGAGAAGGGGGGAGCCGCTAAGAGAATACGTCAGCAGATTCAACAAAGAAAAAACTTCCATTCCTTCCTGCAACCCTGAGACAGCCGTAGACACCTTTAGAAAGGGTCTCCTCTCGAATGGAGAATTATACAAAGAACTGACAAAGCTTGGCTGCACCACGATAGAGGACGCCTTGGCTAGAATAGTGATTCAGATAAGGTGGGAAGAAGATGAGATGAATCGGGCAGTACACGCCAGGTATGACCCAAGGCGGAATGATAGGAGGCCAGAGCTCAGATCAATTGAACCCCGTTACCTACCCCTTCCACGTAACCAGAACAAAGTCAGGAAACCATATGACCGCCAGCCACCTAGAACCAACAACAGACCAACCGGACCGATCCGATACAAAATCCCAGAATACAACCTCAACGTCGAACCAGCCCAAGTCATGGCGATCATGAAAGGAATGGAATCTAGCGTTAAGTGGCCAGGCAAGCTCAATGCCGAAGCAAGGAGAGATACGACCAAGTGGTGCGAGTTCCATGACAACCATGGACATAACATCGGGGACTGCATTGCCCTGTGGTTGGAGGTCGCCGCACTATTGAAGAGGGGACATCTCCGAGACCTGTTGACAGATAAAGGGAATAACACCATCAGCCAGAAAAGTACTAAAGAAACATCTCCACCTCTACAGGAACCTACACCGAAAGGATTCTGTTCGCTTATCTCCGGAGGGTCAGAGATCAATGGGGTCAGCTACTCCTCAGCCAAACACTATGCCAGAGCCAACAGCTACCATGAAATCTAATTCATCCATCTGCCTTCTCAGTCACACTCCCACCAGGTAATTCAGTTCGAAGATGACGAGCTGGTCACCCTGGCCGCTCCGCATCACAATGCTCTAGTCTTCTCAGCAAACATTTTGTTCCGTGAAGTAGTGAAGGCTATGGGTCTGGAAGAAGCAAACATCAACAAATGGCTAACCTTACTGGTTGAATTTAGTTCTGAGCAGAAATACACAATCGAAGAGATCGTCCTTCCTATCTATGCCAGCGGAGTAAACAAACAGACCGTTTTTCTGGTGATCGACTGCCCTTCACCATACAACATCATCTTGGGTCGACCCTGGATCCACGACATGCGAGCGGTCGCATCCACTTTCCACCAAACGATCAGGTTTCCTTCCAAATAGGGAGTATGAGAAATCAAGGGCGACCCTAAGGCTTCCAGAGATTGTTATAAGAACGCTTTCAAGAGCAAAGGTAACGCTTCATAGCAATTACAGTCTCATCCAACCCCTCCGACCGAGCCAGATCAAGCATCTATGAAAGAGTTGGATGAAGTGCAGATACATCCGGATGACCCCGAAAGAAAGACACACATAGGTTCTCGCCTCAAGCCCGAGGCAACAGAGAAACTGATAGAATTCCTCAGACAAAACCTGGACTGTTTCGCCTGGTCCTATGTCGACATGACAGGAATCAGCCCAGAAGCAATGGTCCACCACTTCAAAGTAGATATGGATCACCCGCCAGTGAAGTAAAGGAGAAGGAAATTCGCACCAGAGCGCAACCGGATCGTCAATGAAGAGATTGAAAAGTTACTGAGTAACAGTATGATCAGAGAAGTCCACTACCCCGAATGGCTGGCAAACGTCATGGTCATAAAGAAAAAGAACAGAAAGTGGAGGGTCTACATTGACTTCACGGACTTAAACAAAGCATGCCCTAAGGATTCTTTCCCGCTCTCACATATCGACATGATGGTCGATGCAACCGCAGGCCACGAGCTCCTGAGCTTCATGGACGCTTTCTCAGGGTACAACCAAATCTTGATGCACCCCGACGACCAAGAGAAGACAACCTTCATCACAGAAAGGGGAACCTACTGCTACAAGGTGATGCCATTCGGTCTCAAGAACGCTGGGGCTACCTATCAGCAACTAGTCAACAGAATGTTTTCTGAACATCTCAAGGACACCATGGAGGTTTACATCGACAACATGCTCGTCAAGTCCTTGATAGTCAAGTAGCACCTTGACCACCTCAGCTAGGCGTTCACCGTCCTAAGGAAGTATAACATGAAGCTGAATCTAGCCAAATGCTCGTTCGGTGTCTCGTCAGGTAAATTCTTGGGATACATGGTAACACAGCGAGGGATAGAAGCCAACCCCGACTAGATCAGAGCAATCCTCAGTATACCATCTCCAGCTTGCATCAAAGACATCCAACGCCTCACAGGATGAGTAACTGCCTTGAGCCGCTTTATCTCTAGGTCCGCTGACAAGTGCAACCTCTTCTTCCACGCACTCAAGAAATCCAAGAAGTTCAAGTGGACCCCTTCCTACGAAGAAGCCCTACAGCAATTGAAGAGATACCTGACCTCCCCTTCGCTCCTTTCCAAGCCTATGGATAGAAGAAGCTTTACACCTATCTGGCTGTCTTAGAGATGACAATCTCAACAATGTTAGTTCGGGAAGATGGTACGAAGCAACTACCGGTTTATTATGTAAGCAAGTCACTCCTCAAACCGGAAACACGATACAGTCAACTGGAGAAACTGGCACTCGCCCTCATCCATGCATCCAGGAAGCTCAGACCATACGTCCAGTGCCACTCCATAGTCGTACTCACCTCATTTCCACTCAAGAAGATACTACACAAGCCAGAACTATCAGGCCGACTCATGCAATGGACGATAAAGCTTAGTGAGTTCGACATATCTTTCCAGCCACGTACTGCCATCAAGTCCCAAGCATTGGCAGACTTCATCGCTGATTTCACCTCGAACACCACCGTCCAAGCAGAAAAAGAGTTGTTATGCATGAACAGTGGGCCGCCTTCTAAGTGGACTCTTTTAGTGTACGGCTTAAGCAATGTGAATGGAAGCGGGCTCAGGCTCGTACTAACTACACCAGAGGGAATGTCATCAGCAGGCCATACGATGTGGTTTCAGGTGCACGAACAACGAAGTTGAATATGAGGCTCTCATCGTTGGACTTTCCCTAGCCAAAGAAATCAGAGCAAGGAGACTAGAGGTGAAGTCCGACTCCCAGCTCGTGGTCAACCAGCTACAAGGCACTTACTAAGCACGCGACTCGAAGATGACAACCTACTTGAACCTGGTCAAAGAATTGCAGACCCAATTCAAAGAATTCTCCATCGCCCAAGCCCCAAGAGTAGAGAACTCTCATGCTGACGCCCTTGCTAACCTCAGCTCAGCCCTTCAATGTTTTTCCCAATCATCCATCCCTCTGTTATTCCTGTAATGGCCAGCCAACTGGAAGGAACAACCAGCAAACAAGTTTCCCGAGGAAGCAATGGACATCGAACTAGCTGACTGCTGGATGACTCCAATAGTGAAGTACTTGGAACACAACGAGCTCCCAACTGACAAAAACGAAGCGCGCCGCCTGAGAGCAAGAGCCGCCAGGTTCACCGTATATGAGGGTCAACTTCTTAGGAAATCATTCTCTGGTCCCTACTTAAAGGGCACAAGCCCAGAAGAGGCCAAACGTGTTCTCACCGAACTCCATGAAGGCAAATATTGAAACCATGCAGGGGGACGCAGCCTTGCACACCGGGTGATCACCGCCGGATACTATTGGCCAACCATAAGCACTGATTCAGCTGCTTATGTTAAGAAGTGCGACAGTTGTCAAAGGTTCGCTCATGTCTCACACCTAGGGGTGTTCAAAAAAATGGAAAAACCGAACCAAACCAAAAAACCGGTTAACCGAAAAAACGATTCGGTTACAGTTCAAAAAATTCAAAAAATCGAATTTTCTGTTTGGTTACCGATTCAGAAGAAATTAGAAACGGTTAACCAAAAACCAGTTTTTCAAATATATATATATATTAAATAAATAAATAATAACCTAAACTAAAATAAATCTCTAATTCACTCAATCTAAAATCCCAACCCAAATTTTTTTTCTTAGTTCCCAATGTATTGTCTATATTTACAATTAAATTTGGGACAAAAAAAAAAAAAAAAAAGGGAAAACTGGTTCAAAACTCGTTAACCGCTTTTTTTAAACCGGTTTTCCCTAAAACCGGTTTGGTTTGGTTAACCGCTTTTGAACACCCCTACTCACACGTCCCACCCGAGCGACTTCACTCCATCCTCACACCTTGGCCCTTCATGAAGTGGGGGATGGACATAGTGGGAAAGCTATCGATCACGCCCGGGCAACGAGTCTTCCTATTAGCTGTGATAAATTACTTCACTAAATGGATCAAAGCCGAAGCTTTCGTACAAGTCAGAGACCGAGAGGTAAAAGCTTTTATTTAGAAACATGTCATCTGCAGGTTCGAGATACTGAAGGAAATCGTCACCGACAATGGATCCCAATTTATTAGTTCAGGCTTCAGGGATTTCTGCGACATGTGGGGAATCAAGCTGAGCTTTTTTACCCCCCACAACAGCCAATCGAACGGCTAGGCCGAGTCATCGAATAAAACCATCATGCAGACCTTGAAAAAGCGATTACAAAAAGCGAAAGGTGCATGGGCAGATGAACTACCCGGAGTCCTTTGGTCCTACCGAACTACAACTCGCTCGTCAACAGGCGAGACACCATTCTCCCTCACATACGGTTCTGAAGCAGTCATCCCGACCGAAGTATCAGTTCCATCCACCAGGCTCTAATGGGCAGACGAGGAAACCAACAACTTTTTGTGTTTATTCAAAAGGGATGAGTGGGCCTATCCACCTCCCTCAAAGACAGTCAGCCTCATGGCCCGAATTTAATGAAGTATTACTTAGAAATTTATATCTTCGGTCGGCCTGTCCGATCAAATGAGTTTTACACCTTCGGATCGACCCTGCTCAATCCACGGATTTACACCTTCGGATCGACCCTACTCTATTCACGGATTTACACCTTCGGATCGACCCTACCTGATCCACGGATTTACACCTTCGGATCGACCCTGCTCGATTCACAGATTTACACCTTCGGATCGGTCCTGCTCGATCTATAGATTTACACCTTTGGATCGGCCTTGCCCGATCCACAGATTTACACCTTCGGATTGGCCCTGTCCGATCCGCAAATTTACACCTTCGGATCGACCCTACTCAATCCACAAATTGACACCTTCGGATTGACCCTGCTTGATTCACGAATCGACCCTGCTTGATTCACGAATCTACACTTCGATCAGCCCTGCCCGGTTCATGAAGCTACACATTCAGTCGGCCAGACCGATTGAATGGTTTTTACACCTCAAAATCGACAAGTCATCGACCCAACCCAATAGAGAGTCTACACGACTCAGCCACTGGGCTACACCAAAATCATAACACAAGCATACGGTTTAACCCCCAGCGCATCTACGAACAAAGGAGCAATCAACAAATCATTCACCCATAAGGAAAAACATCAAAAACAGAATCGCAAGTACCGTATAGAAGAAGCCTCAAGCGGCTAAGTTCAAAGTACAATGAAAGGCACACACGCCAGCAAAGGGCATTGCAAGCCCTAAAATACATGAGCAAAAGAAAAATAAAGCTAAGTGTCATCGATGCGAGTCGTCTCACCCATCTCCGACCCGATCACCTTATCGCCAACATCAGTGCTTGCCCCTGCAGCTTAGTCACTCACATCTTCAATAACGGATGGCCCCGACTGACTAGCAAAATCAAGCACCTGCTCATCAATCTGCTCATCCGTATGACTAGCTCCCTCATCCAGCATCTCTTGCATGAGCTGCATGTCCTCATCCGGGTTCTAGTGAGAGGTGTTCCCGACCTTGTACTCAAGCATGAGCTCTCCCCAGGCCTTGATAATGACATCATCAGCAA